CAAAGTAAAATCTGTAAAGACAACAAAATTCGCTTAAAACCCAGCAATAATAATTAATTATTCGTAAAAATCATAAACAAATAACATTGAAAGCCCACCAATACAATATTAAAATCCACAAAGATAAATTATGGCGTAAAATAGATGGTACCAGGCAAAGTGATGTCGATCTTGAAAGAGCCACCTTCGTACGGAGTACCGAGAGCTGGTCCCTAACATGGTTCGTTCACAGCCAAATTAGCATCACTCTTCGGGATGACTTTTATGCCCGAAACCTCAAAATCCCGGTTGCATTCTTGTAGCTCCTTTTGTACCCGCGCAAAATCTACCATCCTTTATATTTTTTCTGAATTTCAATTATCAATTCCAAGGGTTTGAATGATGAGAAAAGAGAGACGAAAAGAAGGGGAGAGAGAGAGAGAGGGTCGGGCTTTTCTTGTTAACCGTGTTCGATGACAGGGAGAAAGATTAGATGAAAATGTTGATCGTATTATCAGATGATATTATTTCATTCATTATGTACACAATCCATGAAAATAGCAAACCCCTACTCGAAAGGAGGGCGTACGAGCGAGAGTGTTGATTTGCCTGCCTTTATCACATAAAGCAAAAGGGAAGAATTCATCGGGCAAATTGTGCGTGTTCGATAAAGTTTAAAATTGGATTAAAATTAAAAAATTAATCATTATTGTTGACTTTTATTAGACGAGTGAGACTCAATAACGATTATATTTTCAATTTTAATTGAATTTTAAGTACGACTGAACACGCTTAACTATCACCAAATCAATTCTCGGGCCTTAAATTTAGAAATTGCAAAAATCGAGTATTAATTAATTAATTAATTAAATATATTAAAATTACAATTATACAATTCATGGTTACATATATATACTTATGTGTCATAACTTATTTATTGGTCACATTTTATCAAATTAATTAGTCACAGATTATTTTTCGATCACAAATCAAAAAATTTATAAGTCACAAATTATTTTACGGTCACAGATTAAAATTTTCATATGTCACAAATCAAAAATTAATAGATCACAGATCACAAATATTATGAGGCACAACTTATTAGTCAGTTACAAATTATTAAATTATCGATCACAAATTAATAATTTTTTAGATCACATATAATTTTATGGTCACAAATTATTTTTTCATTTGTCACAAATTAACTAATTTAATGGTCACAGCCGACCAAATAATTGATGACCACCACCAACACTTGCGACCTCCAGCAGCACCATTGTCTCCGGCACGCCAGAACCACCACCACTGTAGCCAAACCACCATCGCCGAACCACCACCACCTCAAGAGAACTAGGAACATTGTAATCTCCATCTCTTCACCACCACCACCACCACCACCACTGCTTAACCACCACCAACACTTACGACCTCTGGTAGCACCACCACCTCCGGCACACCAGAACTACCATCACTGTCGCCAAAGCACCGTCTCCAGAACCACTACCACATCATGACAACCAGTAGGAATACCGTACTCTCCATCTCTTCACCACCACCACCACCTCTTCCTCCTCTTCACCACCACAACCACCAACAAATCACCAATTTCACTACAAAACCACCACCACACAAAACACCACACCATCCCAACCGCCAGATCCATCGCCATAAAAATCGTCAGATCCACCACCACAAACCCCGCCACCACACAAACCATCGTCGACGCATCAAGGTCGTGGTGCTTCGGCTATGAAGAGTTGCCAGAGTGGGTAGATCTAGTGATCTACGTTGTAACTCACGGCGATTCACGCTCCTTCTGGGGTGAAATGGATTGAGGGTGGTTATGGGGTTGTGCGACGACGATTGATGGTGGCGACAGAAAGGTAAGGAGTGATTGAAGCTTTTGTCTCGTCGCCTACACTTTCAACGTCGCGATTGAAGCTCATGGCCGACGATATGGATTGACGGTGGTGATGGGGCAGGTAACGACGTCGGGTGGTGACAACGGAAATGTGAGGAGTTCGTGGTCGAAAGAGGCGACGATGGCGACGAGAGGGTGAGAGAGAATGGAGAGAGGCGATTGTGTGGGTTTAAAGAAAGAATGGGGAAAATATTTGAAGCTTGGTATGTTTAGAGAGAAAGAGAGAAGAGTGAGACGGAGGAATGAAAATAAATTAGGGTTTTAATTATAAATTCAATTAATACCTAATTTTTGAATTTGAAAAAAATTAAATGCATGTTTTTCTGTAATTTCCTCAAAGCGAAACCTCTTTTTGTTTTTTTAATTGGTGATACGTTATTTGCAAGATTAGTAGTCCAACTTAATTGTAATTGTTGGACCTAATTAATCCCACACAGGCTGGACCGATTAATTCAAAATGGGCTAAGCACTCACAAGCCCAAATCTCCACATCCTGTCCATAAGGAAGTTACACACAAAACTCCAGTCCATCACCGGCACAAAACTCAAGTTGGAAACAACTTACTTGGTCAACATATTGGCAATATTCTCATCAGTATTTTTTTTTTTTTTTGATAAAGAATATTCTCATCAGTATTAAATCTTCTCCAAGTGCATCAATTTTTCATCAATCGCTCCACGAATCCAATGATAATTCACATCAATGTGCTTGATGCAAGATATTGCATTTCTTATATCGCAAGTATACGATATCGTACAAGTTGTGTAGTAAATCTTTGAGTTCTTATATTGTTCCCACAAAAACTATATTTCAAGACTTAATCAAATTTTTCTAATATCTATTTTACAAAAGCAAGTAAATAATTATAATGGTTGTAATTATTCTTCCTAACCACTTTTAATTAATTGAAAATATAAAAATATTGCAAATAACGAATAATTGATTATTCAAATATATGATGAATATTAGAGTATAACAATTTTCATCTATTGATTAACTTAATTCTTAATTCAAAATTCATAATTTAATGTAGTGTATCGAATTTTTCTATTGTATTCAATTTACGAATCTCGAGTTCTCATCGAACCTATTTAACTAATTAAATTATATATCTCTATGTGAATCAAGTTTAGTTAAGCGAAACACTAGTTTTAAAAATTTATATTATGATCGCAATAATTTGTATAGATAGACACGTTATACTAATTTATCGAATTTTACCATATGGTCCAAATCTCAAACTCCCCTCTCGATTCATAAAAGACTCACATAATCATCAAATTAGTGATCAAGTGATTCAAAGCATTAAATTCATAGTAAAACGAACACATATAAAAAATAAATTACATAAATTTTGAATAGAAAAATAAATGATCACAAGTCGACTACACTATTTTTCCTAATATAAAAACTAGTTATTCATACGATAAAAATAAAAACATACAAAAGTAGAACGATATCATAAAAAAATGACGAAATGTAAAATTTCTCGTGTCCGCCGTCGGCTTCTCTTGTCTGCGTGTATATAAATTTCTGCCGCGATGTTTGACTTTTTTTTTGTAACTTGCTCCCTCCTTGTCTCTTCTCTCTGCGTGTATATATATAATATAATCACCCACTCCCAATCCCTCCTTCCTGCGCCTGTATTTCTTTTCCTTCCCCCAACAGCCGCCTTTTTTTTTTCCTTCCTTTGGTTTTCTTTTCTTTGGCGCCGCAGTTTTTTCTTCTCCATTTCTCCCCCTCCGTGCCGCCAGTTTTCTTGTGTATAATATATATTATATTTTTCACCCCTCCAGCCTCCTTTTCTGCGTGTATGTATATAATCTATCATAGGCTTTTAATTGGGAAAATTACACTAAATCAGTTATTTAGAGCTTGTTTGGTAGAGATTTTTTGGGTGAAGAATTGATTTTGAATAGTGATATGATGGGAAATGTGTGGTTGAAAAAGAAGAAAAAATTATTG